CCCCCCCCCCCCCCCCCCTCCCAACCGGCCCCGCGGACTCGCTCGCGATTGATTAGGTGAAGCTTGTGCTGGCAGCGGCGATGTGGATGCGGCCCCACCTCCTCGTGCTCGATGAGCCGACCAACTACCTCGACAGAGAGGCGCTGGGTGCGCTGACCCAGGCCATCAAGGAGTTCGGCGGGGGCGTGATCATCATCTCCCACAACTCTGAGTTCATCAACGCCATCACGACGGAGACGTGGCTCCTAGAGGCGGGCAGGCTGCAGACAATGGGGGCGGCACAGGAGGTGAGGACGGGGAGGGGTGCACATGCAAGCATATGCCGTGGTTGCTAGACCGTTGACCACGAAATCTCTTCGCGAGGACGGAGCGTTGTTCCCGTACGACAGATCACCGATGGTTCCTTCCTACTTTGCCGCCAAGGAGGGATGAAGGACCTCATCTGAACTCATTCCGTAGTCATTAGACCATCGCTTGCAATGCAGGGACGGAGCGGTATGCCGGGTGTTCGCCGGTCCAGGCAACGTTTCCAGTAGCCTTCGCAGATTGTTTGTATGCACGCATGTTGGATAAATCATACAATGGGGGAAGGTAGATGAGAAGGGTATGGGAATAGGTCTGCGTACTCCTCCCTGTTCTGTTTCCTGACAACAATGAATTTCCCGCGAAGGTCGTCCAACGTTTCACAAATGAACCAGAAGCTAATCCTTCCCTACGTTTGGTGTGCTAAACCAGACATACCTTGGACTGAGGGAGGTAAGAAAGGACGAGGGTAGCGCACAGACGCGTGGACGGTGGTATAGCATGCTGCCCTGTGAGATGTGTCCCACTTGATGCTTGAGTCAAGGAGAGGTGGGTACATTGCAGTTCAGATGTCGGTCGTGTTCAATGCATCGTTTTGGGCGTTGTTTCCCGATGTTCCGCCGTGCAGTCCGAGTTGAAGACTTCCAAGAACAAGTCTAAGAAGGCCATGGAGGCGGAAGCGAAGGCGGAGGAGGAGGCGGCCACCAAATCCGGCGGCTGCTCCAACAAGACGGTGAAGTTCGACAACCTCATCAACCCGAAGACGCTCAAGGCGTTCGACAAGAAAAACGTGAGATTCGGGCGGTGCTGCTGTGTGAAGACTGCTGCTGTTGCTGTTGATTCACATGGTCAAGGAGGGTGATCAGAAGATCGTGAGATGTGGTACATGGTTAAGTTTGTTCATGTTAATGCTGGGTCTCTGGACGATGTTCAGTGTTGTCCCAGATTGTTGGTGGTTTTGATGGTGGGGGGCTACGGGCGATGTTTGACGTCGCTGTCCCAGAAGGTTATTTTTGACGGCCGAGCGTTGCGTGGACTCAATCCCATGTAGCAGGCTGAGCAGGGCAGGCCGGGAAAAGCAATGACAGCCTGGCGGGGGCTCAACACAGCAGAGGCATGAACACATGGCATGGCAATGCTGGCACGGGGGCTGCTTGTCTGAAATGAGACGCACAAAAACCTTCTTCGGCTACTCATGCACGAAAAGCGAATAAAGCACGATCACGATTACGTTAGGGTCGTGGTAGTCTGTAGACTGACTCATGAAGGGCAGCAATCACGATCACTGTAGCGTTGTAAAACAGTGAAGCTGGAAGACGACGCCTCTTGGGTTCATGACGACGCAATCGTCCCTCCTTCAACGTATTGCCCCCCCCCCCCACCCCTAGTCCCTGCCCCCGGTGTTTACCATCGGGGTTGGGTTTTCGTCGCTTGGCAACGACGTTGTAAAACAAGCCGCCCCCCCCGGTTTTGCCATCGGGATTGGGTTTTCGTCTCTTGGCAAAGACGTTGTAAAACAAGCCAATTCACTTCGTGAACTCGGCAACCAGGTTACC